TCCCAACTGGAACGGCTACTTGTGGTACCCTGACCCCAGACTCTGATGCGGCCGGGGTTTGAACCCGAACCCAGTGGAGTTATCGAGAATTTTGGACTAAGTGCTCTTCTGTTATTACCGACAAGGACAAGGGAGACTGGAATGGCCATTTCTGGCTTATTAGCCGTCGTCAGCCAGCCATACCCAACCCCGAAGTGTGGAACACCTGGGGCTCGAACTCGCGACCTGTCAGTTAGAAGTGCACGCTACGCTGTGTGGCTGCTGGTTGGGCTCGAGAGAGCCCGAAAGGCACAACGGAACCAGTGAGTTCCGCAAGAACGATCAGTGAGCGCCCCTCTACCATTAAGTGCTCTTCTGCTCAAATCACAGGCTTGATGGATAGATGAACAGGTGTAAGTCACAGGTTTGTCCGGCCTGGGGCTGAAACATGAGTGGCTAAAGACAGTGAACGAGACCACTCCAGTTTCCCTTTTCATTTGCCGGTAGAACTTATCGTTGCGTGAAAAGGCAGTAATGTCATAGAAGCCTATGTTCTAGCCTACCACTGAGGAAATAGCGGTTATAGAGGATCTCATTACAGGCTTAAGAAACAAATCAGAATAGTGCATTACCTCTTAGCATTTACAGGAGTATTGCACAAGTTTGACAACATTATTTGGTTAACCGTCCTAATCGTCAGCTAACTGTTTTTGAAGTAAAAGCTCTCTGCTTACATCATCACTCTGTGGCTTGCTCTTTCCTTCTCATTAAACTGGTATCAAAAACTCGGCGATGTCGTCCATGACTTTAGAGGAGAGAGAGAGCTGCGCCTGGTCGGCTTGTCGCTCCTCCATGAAGAAATAGACTATGACGCAAGCACCCGGATTATGTTTGACGTTTCTCCAAGACAAATGGCTGCTCTCTATTCCTTAAATTCAGGCATTTCAGAAACATAACGCTCAATTGTCAGACCCTAAATTTAGTCTTAAAACTGAGGACTCGTTAATTTTGAAGTTATGAAGACAAATCTACCGAAATAATTGTCATTATCACCCGTAGTTGACAAGCTTATAAGATTTTAACTCCGCTATGGGGATAATACCCAACAATTCGGATCTTTACGTTCACTAACTTTCATTTTTAGAGAAAGGATATAGCCAATTCTTTCGCATAGCCCGGCATGCGAAAGAAGGCAGAACTCGTGCACAAGAGTCTTAATGGAGTGAATATGTAGCCGCACACAGCGGAAGATGAACCTGGATTGGCCGTTACGAAGGCTGATTTAGGGTACATCCTCACAAGTTCCTTTCCGTTATTTTCAACAAAGTGTATTTGAGATACTAAATTATGAGCCTAGTTTTTGCTCGAAAAATCAAATCCTGTTAGCAAAATGTTAATGCGAATTAGCCTTTTCCATGCCTTACTGTATCTAGGAAGCCTATTACTTCAGTATGAGACTAAGGCGACAAAGACTCCCAGACGATGATGAAGAAGACGGATTGTAGCAGCAAAACGGGTGTCCACCTTGTCCTCTCTTGTGTCATATTTCCCTGACACCGGCCCCTTCTACCAGGCGTACCTGGCTTAGCACGGTAGTGCATTGCATAAATATTTCCGCAGCACAACGTACATACTTATATGCTGAGACCATGGTGCTCTTAAAGGACTTCCACGGATTCTGTGCTTGAAAAATAAATCGAGGAGTTGTCGAGAAATTAACCAAGATACAAATCCTTAGACTGGATGCCCTCTTCCTCAGTCAGCTCCTTTGTCATCCTTCCACTCCGCCGACATCTGAAAAACTCTTGAAGGTCTCACTGGCCGACGAAGCCCTGTTGACGAACGCAGGCAGCATTCCTTCCGTCCTCATCGAACTAACTCTCTGCGTATTTTGTCCCGTATTGACGTCTGTGGCTACGAAACATCTCTAGAAGCCGCTGTGTCTGACAGAGCCCGCCGCTCCTTCTTCGGTTTCCGTCTTCCCACTGTGCAACCACCCAGTCTCTTTTTCGCCGAGTCCAAGATGCCGGTAGCCTGGCGTATTTTTTGAATCGCAGTTGTTCCTAAAAAGACCGCTACTCTTGTTCCTAGATTCTTCCGAACAATGCCTTCTCCTTAGTTTACTTACTAGAACAGTTGTTTTAGCCGTAACCTACTCCATTTGCTTTATCTCCTTGTCGCTTGAATACCAAAAAAACATAAGTCAATACTCTCCACACTGCTGTGCTGAGTTTCAACCTTGTTTTCAGAGGCCTACACAAGTGTTGTCATGCCTGCACGGATGCTGTCCCGATTGCGGCCAATTTGACTGGGCTGGTTACTGGCCTGCTGAACACTGTTTTTCAAAGCCAGTTTTTCCAGGCTGGAAAGTGGGGCGTGAGGTGATGCTAGATTTCTTCCTAGTCCCCTTTTTTGTTTCATTTGAAGCTGTCAAACTAAGATCGTCAAACAGTTAGATAGCCTCACTGGTCAAAATAGCAGATATGATGGTGATCTCTAAATCTCTACAGAGGACTTGAACCATGTTTCAACATTATCGCCAAGCAAAGGCGTTCCATTAAATAGCCAGGCATTTTTAAATGCGTTTTCGGGCTACAGCCATATCCAAGTAATTTGTCGATGTCTTTTCCCATGAAGCCCCGCCCTGCCTGAACTTTAGAGTTGCAATGTCCTCTAATCCCCATTAAGTCCCCAAACTTAAATCTTCATCAAATAAGATTCGAAAACTTGTAGACAGTACTCGGAGCTTACTATCTTCATTCCTCAGTCGTTAGTGTGGGGATATATTTACTCCCGTCTTCCCTATTTAATTGTTTTTTTCTTTTGTGCCGCATTAGAAGTGGGTTCGCCACTCCCTATATGTTATTTCCTTCTGTCAGCGATTATTATTCCTTCTTAGTAGATAAAATCGCACAGGACCATTTAGCAACCACCAGGTTCTTCGTCGAGCTTGTTTTCTAATAGATGCAAATTCGATCCATCCAATCCGGTGTGATTTTCGCCTTATCTCCCGGTGAACATCGGCGAGCAAGCAGTAGGCTCTTCCACGTCTGGAGCCTTCAAGTGTGTGTTAGGTGACTGATATGGCAAAACGAGGGCCTTCTTGGGCAGCTTGACAGCAACAAATATTTTGGGATGCCGCCAACTGTTTGTGTTGTCTTTTTACATGCATTTGGGCTACGGTATTTAGTTTCTTTGTTGAAAATACCCATAATCTCGAAGCAGAAGCCGCCTGTCTCATTTTCTAAATCCCGCCTTTTTCTTCGGTACCAAATGGTCGGGTCCGGTTCGTTTTAAAGGTGTTCATCTCCGTAACTAAGGTTTCTGGAAATTGGCTTTGCATGATATCGTTTTGACAGTACAGGTGGAACGCTTATCAGTTTCATTGGAGGCGTCGGCCACAATGGAAAGTGGGGCATCAGGTATAGGGTGAACAAGGACAGTTGTATCCGCAAGAGCCTTCCTCGCACGATTGAAAGCCTCTACAGCTGTGTCAGGAAAAGAAAACTCACGGTTGTTCCCGCGTAAAAGGTTAGTAAGTGGTAGCATTAATTGAGCACAATGAGGGATGAAACGTCGATAGAAATTGACAAGGCCTATAAAACGGCGCAGTTGTTGAAAAGAAGTGGGAGTAGGGAAATCGCGAATAGCTGAAACTTTGGCATCTATGGGGTGACAACCAGAAGCATCTACGCGATGTCCTAGGAAAAACAGCAACTGTGCGCCAAAAACGCATTTAGAATCATTAATGAAAACGCCAAATTGGCTCAATCGTTCAAAAATGAGACGCAAATGTTGTAGGTGCTCGAGTTCACTGGAACTTGCTACCAGAACATCGTCGACGTAGACAAAAACGAACGGTAGATCGCGGAGGGCTTCGTTGATGAAACGTTGAAAAGTTTGGGCGGAGTTGCGTAGCCCAAAAGGCATCCTGACAAACTCGAACAGACCGAACGGTGTTGTAATCGCCGTTTTGGGAACGTCTTCTGGAGCAACGGGTATCTGATGGAAAGCTTTGACTAAGTCAATGTTAGAAAATATTGTTGCTCCAGCTAGGCTAGATGAAAAGTCGTGGAGATGGGGAAGTGGATACCTGTCAGGCACAGTGGAGGTGTTTAACCGTCGGTAATCCCCGCATGGGCGCCAGTCAACGAGAAACTTTTTGCACACCATATGTAGAGTTGCAGCCCATGGACTAGTGGAAGGCCTAACTATGCCTAGCTCCATTATGTGGCTGAATTCAGCCTTAGCTATGGCTAACTTATCGGCGGCTAAACGACGGGGACGGCTAAACACGGGTGGTCCAGTAGTTGAAATATAATGTACAACAGAATGCTTGATAGGTTGGTTAAATTGTGAAGGTCGTGTGATAGATGGAAATTCCGAAAGTAAACGATGATAGGGAGTAGACGAGGGGATTGTTGAAATGCGTGGATTAGGTGATGAAAGTGTACGAGTGGAACAATTACAATGTAAAGAAGTCTTAGGATCAAATAATTTATGGGACTTAATGTCAACGAGGAGACCGAAAAAGGATATAAAATCAGCGCCGAGAATGGCAGTATGGACATCAGCGATAGTAAATAGCCAACGAAATGAACGTCTTAGACCCAAATCTAGTGTTAGGGATCGTTGACCAAAAGTTTTAATAGAAGTATTGTTAGCTGCTTGGAGGAAAAATGAAGAATTTGGTGACTTACGATCAGTCAAGGTGGGTGGGATTAGACTGATCTCCGCACCAGTATCCACGAGAAAATTACGACAGGAAGTCCTGTCATAGATGTGGAGTAAGCGACTGGGAGAGGATGTGCCGACCACGTTCGTCGCCCTTACTGGTCGGCAGGGGGGTTTTCCGGCGCGGGTGTTTTATACTTGCACGGAGAGTGGCAGCGATGGGCGTTAGAACCATAATTGTGATGATACCAACAGAAACCATCAACTGTAGGTTTGTTTGGAGTGGGAGATCTCGGGCGGCGAGAAATTGCAGGACTACGAGGGTTATAGACACGAGTGGCCCGGAGCTAGGAAACTTCGAGAGTGAGGGCATCCAGGCGTTTGACGACATCCTCGATTCTGGGGGCAGTTGTGCTTCGACTGGCGACGTTAACCGTAACAGGAGGCTGGTAGTACTCGAGTATACGGTCAGCAGCCTCTGCGAGCATCTGAACAGTCGAGGAAGGAATGTTAGGCGCAAGGATGGCTTGCACCGAAGGAGGCAACCGTTGGAGGAAAAGTTGCTTGAACATGGTGGCATCCAGCTTTTGTCCGTCTGCCAACTGCTCCAAACGCCTAAGAAGCTGCGTAGGCTTCCTGTCACCGAGGTCCTCCTCAGAAATTAAGCGTTGGAGACGTTTTTGCGTTGAGAGGGAAATGCGGGAAATGAGAGTCTCCTTTAGGGCAGTATAAGGGGCTTCTGTGGGCGGGCAATCTATGATGTCGCGGAGGTCGGTGGCGATGTCCATTGGGAGTGCTGCCACAACATAGTGAAATTTGGTATCCTCTCGTGTGATCTGACGGAGGGCGAATCGTGACTCTACAGTGCGCAGCCATAACGCGATGTCACCGAGCCACACGGATGGCAGGTCAAAAGTGTGAATGCCGGCTATCGGCTGGCTGCTAGAATCGCTGGACATAATTAGCCGGGGTCGGTCAGATAAATGGGGTAGAGGACTGGCGCGTTGACGGTGAGACTGAAGGGTAGCGCTCGTATTGGATGAAAGGGTGAGAGTGTGGATAGCAAATAAGGGCTATATGAATGATCTGATCGATAAAAATTAGAGGGAGGATTAATCCGAATGGAAATAGTTAGGCACAGAGATTAAACATAAGGAGCTATGAACGATACAGGGTCACCAGTGTAAGAGACAAACCCACTAGTTGGGCACAGCGAGTAGGCTATCCAGGAAACGAAAATAGCAGTATCCCAACAGTTACAAACTAGTAAATAAGAACAAAGTCGTCGGCAGGTAAAAGTGCACGTGCTTGTTCTTTGTCTTATTCAAAGTTGTGTCAAAGCGTATTGTAACTGATTAAAACAAAACAGACTTAAATGTCACTACAAACTACCACAGGTGCGCACACGGATCGCACAACCGCGACAGTGAAGTCGCGATGTGATCTTATCGATGCCCTACTGAACTTGAAAAGCAGACTCATCAGGCCCGATCCATCATCGTCCTGTCACTGACGTAGAATGGGAATCGCGCGTCCTAGTAAAAGTTTGATCGTCAGGCAGCAAAATGAGAGTCCAGCAGCTCATTATTATTTTAAAACGTGGACTTTCCGGTTTTTCTGGTTTTCCACTAGGCGTAGTCTTCCAGTACGCGATTTTCCACTTGCTCCGCATTCTAATTAAGGCAAATTATTTGACGTTGCCATGAAATAGTAAACTGACATAATGTCCGTCGGATTAGGTCAGCCTTCACGCCGTCGGACTAGGCGTGCGTGAAGAATAATTACTCATCAGCAGAGCTATTATGCAATATAAGTAAGTTATAGGAGATAATCAGAAGGACAAATTGTTTACGAGTTAGCCTGCTCTGAATGTGACAGACGAGCTTCTCATGATATAGAAACGAGCAGTCACAATTGCCTCAGAAGGCGAAGGCCAGTGAAGACAAAGCAGACTTCGCATCTCAGATTCCATCGCAAAATCGGACTCGTTTTGAGAAAGAAATGTTCCCTAAGGAATCTGGACTGGACCGCCGGAAGGAGATACCGTTGTACAACGTCCTACCGATTCAAGTTCGTCGTATGCCCCAGCGGACGTTTCCAGGCGCGTGGAACTTACAGTTCGGCTGACTGCAACGCAAACACGCACATCTCGGGAAATCACGGACGCCCATACGTCACTTGTAGCGGTGCATGCGGACCGGGCTATAAAAACCCCAAACTCGCTCTCAGGAACGTATAAGACAGAGGACTATACCACCACTCTTTCGGACGGTATTTAACGCTGCCAACGACCATTGCTGCCGAGTCAGAAGCTCTGGATTACAGAATTCATTCTACTGTTCCATCTTCTACTAGCCGGGGTTTGGCCTGATGATTGTGGCGGTCAAGGCACACTCTACATTCTGACCGCAAAAATTGAAGACCCCGAGGTGGTCTGAGGAAACAAGGGCCGGACGTAGCTTAGGTTCGACCCTCGCGAACTTCCCACTCTCATCTTCGTCTGCCGGCCTTTCTGTCTCAGTCAAGGTGTGCACGGTCGCTGCCACCTTAACGCGAATGGAGATGAGTGTCGGCAAGTCCGAGTCGAGACTCGAACCAGATTGTGCAGAGCAGTCATTTAAATGCACTATCGGAACATGTAACTGTCGCTCGTGACCCATTCTCAGGCATTTGGCGGAATCTTGTGTTTACATTTGTAGGATCCTCCAAGTCTTGGAAACTCCCTGCGCACTACCTCGGCTTCTGAGACTGAATGACAGGGAAACGGAAGATAACGGTGCCGTGAGGTCCTAAAGGCTGACCTACACTAGGCTGAGCGTTCGGGAACTAATAAGAGCTGATAGTCAGTCTTAATCTCGTTTGCTTTCTTTTCTGACTTCGTCTTGAGACCAACTTCTAGATTGCCCCTCAGCACATACAATAACTTCACTGAATAGGATGTTTACAGGTTCGCACACAAGAGAGCTCGTGGACGATTTCCGCATTTATATCGCCTAGCCAGCACAACTTGCTAATTGGCATGAAGGGAGGTGGCCAGATATAACCGAGTACTTGCCAACTTATTGTTTCACACCACTGCCAAGTAAAGTCTTTCGATCATTGTAACTTACTGTCGTCAATATTCTCGTTGGGTTTACCTCACATTAATCGTAACGCTCCTCCCAACTTTGCGGGAAACCTTAATTTTGCCCATAAAGGCTAAACGAACGCCTAAGCGGGCCACGTTAAGCCTGTGAGATGGAGTTGGATCTCATGTACCGCCAAGGCGCATTCTTGTGCATATAGCGCCACAGGACTCCAATGAGCAGCCGAAGCCGGACGGCTCGGTCCTCAGCCAATCTCTCAGTCAGTCTACTAAATTGCCTACGCCAATGAATTTACACGCAGAGAGAACAACAAACTGTAGGTCAAGAACGGCTCAAGCATCAAAATAAAGCAAGAAAATGGCGGCGATCGTGTCCCCCTCTGAACAGAGGACTGGGGGCGCTAAAACAGACAAATGCACGCATACAAGAGTACAATCGGAAGTCGCTCCCGAGCCGCATTGCCCACCTGCCCCGCCATAGGAGGCAGCACTACCGGAGAGGAGTCAGTGTAGATGAGAGTAGGAGGAAAAGGGGACGAGTTTGGGACAGCAATGGAGTCAGTGATGGCAGAATGACATCGCGGCTTCACGTGGTTTACAGTACCGCGGGATGGGGGCACCGAGGGATGTGCGCAGGGGTATTGGACCACCTCCGTGGTTTGCCAGCAAGCAGATATCGAAATAACGTAGGTGAGGGCAGATGAGGGACTGAGAAGATCTGTGGCGGTGGGGGGCATTCAACTAGAAAAATATGTGTTTCGGGCACGTAGCAAGAGAAGGGGGCGAGGGCATAAAATGATATAAAATCTATCCAAAAAGGTCGGTGGGTCCAAGGAAGTGAAACAAAGTTAAATGAAGAAAACACCAATTTTCAAGGACTTGAGTGGGCGGTGCGCGCGCAGGCTCGGTGAGAAGATGTGAAGTCAGCAAGTATAAATTCCAGGCGGCAGAGAGTAGGGAGGACTTGCGTCTGGTTAGGGAGGAAAGTCGGCGGGTGCTGAGACGACGTAGAAAGGATGGAGGAGGAGGGTGAATGTGGGCGAAGGGACTGGCATGAAAAAGGACGGAGTAACGGGCTAGCTCCCTCCCCTCAGAACTCAGAGGCCTGCGGCCTGGCGAAATTCGTTTACTTCTTTCAGCATTCTCTCCTTTAACACGGGGATCGGGACGTTGTCCAACTCCTCCTCGAACTCGAAGGGATGCTCAGCAACAGGCTGAAAAGAAAAGGAAAGGGGACAACTGAGAGAACACGCCGGTCATGTCACGACGAGGTGACCAGTACACTCAGTGGAAAGCGAAAATCCTACAGAGATTTTAACATTGTAAAATAAAGGGTGCCCTGAAAGTTTCTGCAATTGTTGTGGTGTAGGGTTTTGACCTACGAACTTCTTCGTTTTGCAGAATTGGTTGAACGCGTTTTACATCGTTATGCTCACCTTGGTCCAACGCCTCTTTCCCGTAAAGTGATTAACAGTAACTTGTAACTTCCATGCACATTTTATGCTACCTCCCCCCGGCCTACTTAGGAAGTACGTTCCTGGGTTGTATTTGGGAAAAAAACGATCTTGTTCTGACACTGATTTTCATACGTGACGAAACGCGGCTTCAGTACAATAACAAAGGTCTCGGCGAAGACCTTGACACAATGAACGCCCTGCCCCATACCAAAAGATGACCGCCGGTGGAGGATGATTATGGTCGCCGTTCGGTAGTATGCGGTGCAATTCGTTTTCTGTGGCCTTATTAGGCTAATTTATCATTTTTAACTGGGCTGGGAGAACGATGCATAAAATAGGTGCGACCTCTACACACACAGCGATCGCCCAAACTGCGAGTGGATGCACCAAGGCCTCGAATCGTAGGCCTGGAACGTTCGCGAAAATAATAGCAGAATAAACAAGCCACAACCCCGCTTATGATCAGGGCTTAGGTGCTCCCAAAAAAACTACTCAGAATAACCGTGAAATATTCACAAACTGCCCACGGACAGCAAGTGCGACATGATTAACCATACCAACAGCTCAAAACCCCAGACGCGTGTTCTGTCGATCTCGCCGTGGCATGACGCAGTTACGAGGATTTCGGCTCAACAATGGGTTACCTGGCGTTCCCTATGTGCCTTGTGGCGTGGGCTGTGAACAGGACCCGCCAGTCTCTGAATATGGGTAACCGAATTCACTTCTTAAAACGCTGGGGCGACAATACCTTCCACGGCCCACCCCGATAAACACCTCGTTCTTCTCTGACACACGAGTTTGCAGGATGACACGTGACCTTCTGCTTCCCAGGGGCCGCACACTCAAAGCCACCACAACAGGCAGGCAACGTAGTTTGAACCCACTCGCACCTGGATGAGAGAATTTTGGATGCACAATAAAGAAAGAGAGAACAGTCAACGCTAAGCAAACGGTGCCCGGTGCTGACTCTAAACCGACAGTCACCGTCAACAGTCATCGCCTTACCGCTGCGGAGCAGTTTGCCATTCGGGTGGCATAGTTCTTCGCGATACGTTTCGATAAACGAGGGAATTTCTCCCGGTCCTCCCCTTGACTTTACGTGGAGTTTATTGCCTTTACAGCTGGCAACTAAACAACAACTATCAGAACCTCCGCAACTGGGAACGGACAATCGGCAGCCTTGAGCCTAAGGAAATGCAGCACTGAGGACAGACTGCTGGGCACGTACTCGTTGTGGAGCCACACCATCACAGCCCAAAGTAGGAAATGCACGAGGTCATTTTCAACATTAAGAAGAGCTAACAATCCCCGAATGGTGGTGAAACCTGGGGGAAATCGTTCGATCGACTTGTACTTCGTAGATAGTAATGCCATGCGCCTCACCTGCCACACGGGAAGGCGCACACTCGACCGCTGA